GAGCAAAAATAATCATGCAGCTTGTCCAAAACAGTAACCATGCGAACAAGTAACCAGTAAATAATCATGCAGCTCCTCACAAAAAATAGCCATGAGAACACATAACCTTGCGAAAATAATCATGCAGCTCATCACATAAAGTAACCATGCGAACACACAACCTTGCCAAAATAATCATGCAGTTCTGCACATAAAGTAACCATGCGAGCACGACCTTGTGGGAAAATAATCATGCAGTTCCGCAAACACAGTAACCATGCGAACACATAACCTTGGGAAAATAATCATGCAACACCTCAAACACAGTAACCATGCGAACTTTTCTAACCCTGCAAACCTCTTGGGAAACAACACAGTAAACATGCAGCGGAATAGCCTGCAGCCTCTCCGCATGCGCCTTTTTTCTTGTCCGTCCTGCCCCCCCCCTTCCTACAGCGACTGGATACCCCTCCTCTGTAGCGAACAACCTGCTCGCCCGCTCTATTTTGTTACCAAAATCGATACAGTAACCATGAAAACGTCTACACTTTTGCACGGCATCTCCAATACGACAGCTGTTATTTTCATTGAACAAACATGCTTTTTATAGCAAATTAACTAAAAATAGTTAAGGAAAAACAAGCCTAAATTAACTAATAGTTAATTCTAAATTAACTAATTAGTCAATATTTTTTCTAACTATTAGTTAGGAAATTAACTATTGCCTATTAGGCAGGAATTTGCCTTAACCGATCTATTGGGAACCGACCGAACGCCGCGTCAAGAAGGTCCTGGCGACTATTGACGCCGCACTGACCAACGACGAGCTCACGCCGGATGTGGCGAATCGCTTGGCCGGCAGGCTCAACTTCATCACCCAGTCGACCTTCGGCGCTCTGGGGAAAGCAGCCCTTCAGCCCGTCTATTCGAGGGCACATGACGCGGCGGCCACGTCGGCCACGTCGCTGTCGGTGGGCCTCCGGGCGGCCCTCACTTCTCTCCGGGCCCTGCTGGCGGAAATCCGACCGCGGAGAGTGCCCATTATCGACGATGGGGCCCCGGCGGCGATCATCTACGCAGACGCCTTCTATCAGCCCGGCGAGGTGAAACACAAGGCCGGGCACATACCGGCAGAGGTCGGCGTCCGGCCGGGGACCCGCGGCCGAAATGGCTGGGGCTTCGTCGTCCGCATCGATACCCACGTCTTCTACGACTGCGGCGTGGTGCCGGCCAAGTTCTTGGACATCTTCGCCTCCCGTCGGGCCTTTATCTATGTCCTCGAGATCGTCGCCCAGGTGCTGGCGCTGGTCACACTGTCCCGCCGATTACCCCAAAGGTGGCTGGCCTTCATCGATAACGTCGCCGGCCAATGGGCACTTACAAAGGGGTACGGGAAGGACTCCGCCGTCAACGGCGTGTTGGCGGCCTTCTGGTCCACGGCGGCCCTGTCGGAATGGCTTCCTGACTTCCGCCGGGTGCCGTCCAAGGCCAACGTCTCCGACGCAGTGTCAAGGGGAGATCTCCACACGGCGGAGAGCTCCGGCTGGGAGCGGGTACAGACACCCGTCGAGTCGATCCTCAAGGTGCTCTCCCGGGCCGCCGCCGATCTGGACTTCGCGGTCAACGACGCCGCCGACGAGCTACTGAATCTTGCGGTGTGAACGGGCTAAGCCGGCGCAGAGTGGGTGAGGGGAGCGCCGGGCGGCAGCTAAAAGCGTCCCCCGGCGCCGGCTTGCCTAGTACTGGCGATTGCGACGGACCCGGCGCGAATGCGCTTCAATCCATCCAAAAGAAAGGGTTCGTCCGTCGTAGCTCTTTTGGGTACCCGTCGGGGAAAACGGTTGTCGTGTAGCACATTTATGTGCGTAGGGACAACCGTCGATTCGACGTGGATGCTGCAGCCGCTGTCTGCTCCACGTCCCCCGACGATTTTCAGCTCCCACCCTCACCGCCCTTATTGGGTTTTATCCTGAGACCTTTCGGGTCGTCGCTCGCTGGCGGGCAGCGGGCCGGGGCAGCTAAAAGCGTCCCCCGGCGCCGGCTTGCCCATCCAAAAGAAAGGGTTCGTCCGTCGTAGCTCTTTTGGGTACCCGTCGGGGAAAACGGTTGTCTGTCTCTGTGTGTCTCTGTGTGTCCCTGTGTGTCTCTGTGTGTCTCTGTGTGCGAAAAGCAAAACAATAAAATCAGCTGCATCGCCTTCGCCCACAACCTCAGCCTCACTCCCTGAATCCCGAAACCCCTGGGAGCCGCCATTTCAACAGTAAAACTCTCAGTGCTGGAGACCAACGAGCCGGCCAGAAAGTGCTACGCCAAGTCGGGCTTCCAAGTGTGCGGCGAATCTCCATCCATCTTTCCGCCGTGCAACTGTCCTGCGGACAGTTGCCATTGTGCTAATAAGATCAAGTGGCTGAGCATGGAAAAGCGCGTCGCCTGAAAGCGCGCACTGCAAAACATGCTGTTTACTCCTGTGGCCAAGGGCGGTCCCAGGTGAGGTCACCAGAATGCCTCCAATCTTCAACAGCCGTGCCCAACTACAAAATCCCAGAAAATCCTGAGACGCATGAAGGCGCAAGTAGCCAAGCTCCGTGCCTCCATCGCGTTGGAGCCGAGCACTCAGCCCTTGAGGGTTTCAGACTTGAGGGGGTTCAGGTGTTTCAGCCAGGGCTTGGGGATATGTTTTGTGACTGTTCAGGGGCTAAGCATCGGCCGGCACGGAATGTTCGGAGCAGGAGAGTCAGAGAGGTCTACTTAGCGTTGGTGACCGCGCCACCCTTTTGTTGCATTGCGCGCTGCCGCGTCGCAGTAGGCTGTGTCCTTGCAGTCGCTGGTCACTGGATGTCGCTGGTCGAAGGGTTTAGGGTTCAGGGGTGTCGACATGAATCTAGAACTGCCGCGCGAAACCCCGCAGGATAAGAGGGCTGCGCAAAGCCGACATGTTCAACGCACAACTTGCTCGTCGCATTATGTAGATGGCCTGTGCATCTGTGTAGTAGATATTCCAATTGTGTGTGTATAATATATATATATATATATATATATATATATATATTCATCGTCAAGCTCCGATGTTACGGGCTGCACTCCTCTATAAGCTTTCAGCAGGCAGTTTCCAGAGGCCGCAGTCGCAAGAAAGAGTACAGAGACTGGGTCACTAGTCGGCTTTCTGCCCTATCAGTTACTCGAAGCGGGTTTCAGGCGCGATGCTCGCAGTGACTCCAAGCTGGCCAGTCGGACACTCGGATCCGGCTGTGTTTTGGGGCAGGGGATCGTTTCTTCCCCGCTGCAGCTCGGCGCAGCCCACGAGGCTCGGACAACGGCTGATCAAAATTGGCCGACGGTGCCGGGCGAGCAGCAATGGCCGAAGAAAGCAGATATTCTCCGGACGTGAAGCCATGCGTTCCTCCAGAGGGTGCATGCAGGTGCCTTTCCCACGCCTCTTTGCTCGAAGGCGCAAGAGCGTCGGAAGATCCGCCGCGTGAACAGCACCCGCCCAGTGGCCCTCACGTGTGCGACCCGCCTCGGATGCAAAACCATGGAGAGAGCGAGACGCCGAGGGATGGGGCACGGCACTCGTGTCCCTCAGTGCAAGGAAATGCAAAGATCCGAGTTATAGTCGTAGAATCAAGGAGCTTGCATAATTCATTCTGAGTTTGTGGGGACCATCATCAACACTTGACCCTGGGTTTGTGAGAAGATGAGCATTGCAGCCGAACATCTTTGGACCCGGTCCTTGCTGCCGCCCAGTGGCCCAACAGCCGAAGCGCCGTAGCGTATCCTCTCACCATGACACCAGGGGCAGCAGGAATCTTAATGGGATTCGGTCTGGTTTGGAATGGCCTAATACCTGGCAGGTGGATCGCGCATTATCTTTTGACACGGAACGGATAGGACCTGAGCTTTGTGCGCATCCCTTGCAGCTTCTCTGTCTGCGCTGCCGCGCCGATCCTGCACAGCACCCGGGCCGGCGCATGACATGGGTCGGGTGCAGTAGACTCCCCTCGTATTGCTGTCAATACGTTCGTGAGCACCGGCAAATCCAGTTGTTTGGAAGTAATGATCCGTAACAGTAACAGTAACTCTGTATTGCTTCACGTACAGCCATTCTTCTTGTTATCATCATCCGTGGTCATCCGTGCAGACACTAGTTAGGCATGACCATCATGATGCTAGTTCTTGCTACTGCCGTTCAGTTTTGCCTGCCACATTCGCGAGTGATTGCTGGTATTTCCACTGCTAGTCGACAGAAGATGATGCTGATCGGTATCGTGACTGGTGTTCAGAATCAGTCATATGGTTCTCGTTCCAGCAGGCCTTGATATCAGGAAGCAGAGATGACAGTCATGAAGTGTCTTGAGTCCTGTGGCTGACTATCAGCTTGTGTTGTTTGGAGCCTACATGGATTCATAGAAGGCTCTGGCTGGCAAGCTTGCGGGCATAAAGTGACTGTCGGTGGCTAGGGGCATTGACGGTGAACGTATACACGTGGGTGCACGGAGTGTGTAATGCCAAAATCCATACCTCGAGTTTGCTTGCACAACGTGGAATCTCAAAGCACGCTGGGTTTGTGTCGGCTCGTGCGGGGAGAACCAGGGTAAACTGTTGCATAACCCCTAAAAAAAGCCGTCGCCCCGAGTCCAACCTCAGACTCTTGAGCCTCGGATGTCCAAGGCTTGCGAGCAGCCGAGCGCCTCCGGCGCCGGGTGCCTGAGGCTCAGGAGGAACTTTGGGGTTCAGAGGTCGGGTGTAGGGTTCATGGGTCGGGTGTAGGGCTCAGGTTTAGGGTTCAATGGGTCGGGCATTATGTTGTGAAGGCGACTTACCGAGCCGAAGCCACCAAAAGCCTTGGGACCCTAGATTGAGAATTTTAAGGGTGTTCGAAGCAGGATACGGATACAGTAAAGGTAAGCCATTCCGGGAACGACCCTTGTTGAACTTCACATCGGAGCAGAGCGTGCAGGTCTGTTGCGATTTGCAAGAACCCTCGTCCTTTTCTGAATCCGTGCGCCTGCAGGGCCGGCATCATGGTGTCGGTGGTGCGCGACGCGGCTTGGCTTCACGCGGGACGTTTTTGGAACGGCGGAGCAGCATTGAACGCAGCGTTTACAGGTCTTCGCAACGCTTGGGCCCTGAACCCCTAAGCCCTAAGCCCTACAACAAGCCTCTCCCTAAACCCACTCCCCTCGACCCTGTCCTTTAACCCTAGACCCTAAAGGGCTTAAGCCTTTTTTCAGGGGCTTCACCCCTCCTGGGTTTCGCGTCTCCCGCCGGAGGCTCCCAAGTTCGAAGACGCCCTGTCCCAGCTGGCGGCCCTTCACGCACAGGCCAGCCTCTGAAAGAAGCAAGCAAGGGACCTACAAGCCCTTGAGGGTTTAGGGATTCTGAAGGAAGCAATACCTGTGAGGGCTTGAGGGTTTAGGGATATTTAGGGCATAGCGGGACACTGTGACTAACGTGCATTGGCCAGGGCTAGGTTTTGCATAGGGTTATAAGGGTTCATGACGAGAAGTCAATACCATTCCCATTTCTGCTGTGCTCACCATTGCGTGGAGGCGTAGGCGTAGATGTTATTCGGGGATGAGGGCATGGCACCTTGACGGCATGGCAATATTACATCTAATCTATTAGCCCTGGTACTGACTATGACCACATACGGGTGGCAATGCTGGTAGAAGTGTATGTTGGAGTAAGCAGGAGCTGGAGACAACGGAGAGGGAGCTGCGCTCGGAGATCGCGCGCTTGCAGGTGCTTCGTCGGTGCGCAGCTTTGCGCTTGTTTCGTAGGGCTCGCTTGAGCCTCAGGGCCCGCTCCCACCGAGACCCGAAAGCCAACATTGGGCAACCGTCTGCAGGCCTCCCTCGTGGAGGCGGAAGCTCTCAAGGCGCCTATTTCACGTTCCTTCAGGGTCTGACCGTTGATCCTCAAAGACCTCACTGTCATCTTCGTCACCAGCTCCACATCTCCACATCACTCCCATCTGCATTTCCATCATCATCGTAATCTTTCTGTTGATTCGATCGTCTTCTTCATGATAAAGCATTCATCCCTGTGGCCATCACTGTCACGATCGCGCACATCTTATTCTTCGCCGCCATCGTCGTTGTCATCACTAGTGTCGCCAGCATCATCCGTCTTTTCGTGAGATGGATCGAGATGGACCTGTAGCCAATGCAAAAGCGATGTTGATGGTGATGGTGACGACGGCGACCAATATCATGAAGCACACACAGTTGCTTGCTGATGATGGCTTTGCAGGTGATGCTGACGATGTCGGCAATGATCCTACAGAGAGGGTAGCAATGTCCGAGCTTGATTAATAGGATCGGCTTTTCGCGGGTTCATTCATTGCTGCACCGAGCATCGCCATGGACTACAAAAAATGCCGTTGTAACCGTCGTACCCCGTGCAAGTGGCGGTGGCGGTGTTTGGGCTTCAGCAATGGTGGTACTAGGAGGGGTGGTTGATCAGGATATAGCCGTCAATGTCGTCCGGAACCTAAACCCATGCCATGCAACTCTTGGTACGGTTCTGCGGCTTTTGCCAGGAGTTGCTCTTTGTCCTTTCGCAATATTCCTTCGTTTGTCTTTTAGACACGTATTTAGTCATCGTGAGAGTTGTCGGGATTCAGCCCTCAAGCCTAAAGCTTAACTACAACACCCTCACGCCAGAAAACTGCCAGAGATTAAGGCCCGCCTAAAGCTGCCGAAACCAAGCACATCGAAGCGCCTTTGCCCCGCAGACTGCGGCCACCGAGCCCCGTGTCCTCGCTGCAGACGGGGCCTCGGAAGGTTTGAGCTTCACGGAACACCCTGTGGAGCACGACATGGACTACCCTGCAAAATACCTTATGGAATGTAGAATACCCTTCATTAATCGTACGCCTTGTGGAAGACTATCTGGAATACTCTATAGAATACCTTGAGAAAACTCCCTATGACCCGGTATATGTTTGCCCTTCAATACCGTGTATATACCCTGACACTCTAACACCGTATAATGCGCTTTGGATAACTTGTCGAATAAAGTACATGTAGAAGGACAATCCGGACGAGCCCAAGATCTGAGAATCCCCCACACAACTGTAGCTTATCGGGTAAGTGGTTCCTAGGAAAGAAATCAGGAATCGAAGAGAACTGTCCATAAAAGTCCCTCGAGAGGTGCCACACAAAGAAGCAACATGAGCAGGCGATCTCACTGCATCAGCAAGCATTATCTGCAACACTGGCAGACACCGATCAAGTGTATGGTGTGCGGCACATGCTTCGATAGCTCTGTGAGAGCTGGGAGTGGTGCCCACAAGTTACTCACCCGAGGCTCCTGGTTGAAGTCCATAGCGTCAGCAAAGTGCAATTGAGAATTCCAGACTGTCTTTGTCATCGCAGTGCTTGTGTGCGGACTTGGATTGTTGTCGCCACCGCGGCGCGTGGACAGTCTTCTGTACAATGGTGTAGCTTGACATGACATCTGATTACTATCCTACCGGCCGGATTTCAGCCGATATCTTTTCCTTGTTGCTCTTACTTGAAGCACATAGGCGTGTAAGCGTGTGACATGCAGTTGCCGTCTTGTTTAGGTTGGCTCCTTGCCCTCAGCAGAATCCAGAGCCCACAGCCGCCAAACCCCGTTAAGCTCTCCAAAACTAGAAAACCGCATCTTGCCCTTGCAGGCACCCTTATAGGCCTTAAAGGCACGTTAAACCCTAATGAACCCTGATGCCACCCTTGAACCCTAAACCTTCCGAGGTGATCGAAGACATCGCTCAAGATCTGCTCGGCGAACAGCAGGCCCTGCCAGAAGAGCAGAGACAATGGGGCCTGAAAGGCTTTTAGAGGGTAGTCTGCACGGTTCTGACGGTTTAGGGCGTAAAGGTCTTGGGGTTGTGTTTAGGGCGTAAAGGTCTTGGGGTTGTGGGTAGCGAAACTGCAGATTGAGGTTTCAGAAAACGTTGGATTTGGGGGTTGTTTTGGACCTGGGTGCTTGTGTTGCGGTCGTTCTACGTTACCGCTACTCGAAGTGATGCGCAACACGCTTTTGGTGGTGTTTTCCTTGTGTGGCCGCCCACTTTCGGGTTTGCGGCACGATAAAGTTTGGGAGTGGGAAGATCCTCATGCTCACGCTCGCTGAGCTAGCAAGGATGGAAACCTGAGAGTGGGATCAAGGCCAAAGCTTCAGAATCCACTGTGCAGATATGTGTATATAAGAAACCCAGTTCTTCCTCGACCACGGTTTCTGCGGTCCTCGCGCTTCGACCCCAAATTACTTTCGAGCGACTCCTTTTTACTGTCGTGCGACTGCATTCTACTTGTAAGCTTTGTGAGGCCTCAAGTTTGTTATGAACGGTGACGTGGGAGCGTGAAAAAAGCGTGAAAATTTCGTGAGCGACCCTCACCAGTGAGAGGCCATAGAAGGGTTTAGGCTCTTCGGGGCAACCGTGAAAAAAGCGTGAGCGCAGCCAGCACAAGAACGTTTCAATTTTTTCGGCTGCGCCTGCACGGATACCCGAAAGCTCGATTTGACACATGGGTGAATCGGGGTCGTTCAAAGGTAAATCGCGGTTGGACCACGGATTACTTGGTCCTTGGACCATCGACCGTGGTTTTTACGGTCTTTGGAAGTCGAGGGAAAGTATGCAGTATGTACAATACATATACACACATATATATATATATATACACAGTGTAAATATACAACTATATGTGTGTTGATGTATTGTTTATAGGTAGGTATGTACAAAATATATTTAGTGTATGCATACATCCTAGCTGTTGTAGTCTTGGCACTTGGAAAGGCAAGGCAGGGCCTTGGCATGGCTTGGCTTATCTACGAAAGCCCCGGCCAACTCTGAAACTTGCAACCCTTAAGCTCCAAACCCTGGATCCCTGAAACCCTGCAGCCCGAAAACACTAGAATCCCTAGGACATACCCCACCCGAACCTGACAGGAGGCTTCTGTGAGTGGAGAAGACGCAAGATCTGCAGGTTACCGGCAAGTTGCATCACACTTGTGGGGTTTAGGGGCTTAGGGTTTAGACTTCAGAGGTTTCTACCCAAGTCTAGGCCAGGGGCTCAGGGTTCAGGTTTCAGGTTTTCGGGGCCAGGGTAAAGCGAGGCTGCCTAGCACAGCAAGTGCAGGGAGTTATGATCTCTTCTTCAAGAATCGCATGCACCACCTAAACTCTGAATTCGATTCTAAACCCTAAGCTCCACACCCTAAACTCTAAGCTCTACACCCAAACCCAAAGGCCCTAATTAGCCTCTCAAATCCCCAAGACCTGCATCTCTCCGTGACTCCGCAGGAGCGCTCAAGATGGCCAAGCGCGAGCCTGAGCATTGTACTGTTGATTGACAAAATCCTGCATGACCCCATTATTTTAAGGGATCTATAGGGCGTTTAGGGTCTAGGGATATATAAATCCTGCATGACCCGTTATTGTAAGGGGATCTATAGGGCGTGTAGGGTTTAGGGGTATTTAACTCCTGCATGACCCTAAGGACCCTAAACTATGGGAACTATGGTATATTCCTTCTTAAATGGTTAATGCAGGATTTTGTCCATCAACCTGTTGATGGACAAAATCCTGCATGACACATTAAAAGGAATATACCATAGTTCCCATAGTTTAGAGTCCTTAGGGTCATGCAGGATTTGCATTACTCGGAGGGTTGGGGGACTTAGTTAGTATAGTCCTAGTTTATAGAGCTATAGCTAGTACCCATGTTTTATGGAGCTAAAGTTAGTAGTCATAGTTTATAGAGCTATATGAGTATCAGAAGGTGTCATAAAGCATCACAGCATAGTTATAAGTGTCATAACTTATCATTGCCCCGTTTAGGATCCCTGTTAGGGGGCTTATGCCGGTGGCCGCATGGGCCAGAGTCGTGAGCCGAGGGTTCGGGGGTGGGGGTTTCGGGTTCAGAGGTTTCTGGTCTCTAGGTTCGGAGATTAATTATTGACTAGCATTCTGATGATGATGGTAGTGCTCATGATGAAGATGGTTCTGACGGTGATGATTATAGTGATACCACTTCCACGAATATGCTTGTGCTAGCAGTTGCCAGTTTCTCGACCCCAGACCTCACATTCAGCTTTGCTGCTTTTCATCTCATTAGAGTGTGACATGTTGCTGTTGTGATAGTGAAAGTTAGGAGCACTAGCAATGTAAATGCCTTCGTTCTGGCAGTGCCCCCTTCAAGCGATGCATGACATTCTCGCCTCTTACCGTCATGGATGTAAAACAAAAACCCTAAACGCTAAACCCACAAATTATCGGAACTCGCTGAGGCAGGTATCCTTCGGGGCACACGAAGTCAAGCCAGGCGTCGGGCTGAGCTCGCAAGTGTATGTTGTATAAGGGCTCCGCCTTTTCCCTGCCCGTTCTGTTTTTTTTTTTATAAACTGTATGATTAGTATGATTTTGAGAAACGGGTAGCTCCCAGAGTTCAACTATATGCGCAGTATAGTATGTGGCCCCTGAAACCTAGCCTAGAATTAACACCAAGCCCTGCGGAAACTCCCCCCAGCCCTCATCCCTAAGCTCTTATCCCGACATGAAATTGTACCGGAGCTGAGTAATTGCCCAAAAGGGTCTACAGTTTGGTGTTTCGCGAGGGGCACTAGACCCCAGATCCCCGGCCCAACTTTCTGAGAAATAAAGCCGCATCATGTTGAGCATAATATCGACACCGCCATGGGCAGTCTTGGGTTTTGCTTATGCTCTTCATGGCAGGATTTGCACATCAGCAGCAGAGTGGGCGTGTTTTTGGATTTAGAAAATATCAGTACCTGCCACTGACCGTCACGGAACGTCCACGAAAAGCGCACCAGCTTGAGCTTGGCTCTGAAATGTGCGTACGGGCTGCGATGAGTACCCCACGGAATCAAGAATTGCCTCCAAATTGAGTCAACAAGAGCTCTTAGTAACCGAGAGAGATGGCGAACTGGCTGATTCCGAGGACGTGGCGAAAGCCGACACAGTGCTCTTCAGCATAACTTTCGTTTCTTCGTAGCACGTCGTCGGCATGGTTGCGAGCTGCTGGCCACACGACGCATCCGGATTGGGGGTTGGCCATGGTTGGCCTCGAGCAGGTAGACTCTTACACAACTTCCGTGATGCAAACGTGATGGGCAAGCGTGGAACCGTGGAACTACGATTTTGAGATGGACTCTTAGTCTTCGCGATCGACAAGAATTGGAAATGTCTCATTGAGCCCAGAGCCTCGTCGGGAAGTCCTTTGAAGCGCGCTTTCACCGGAGAGATGCCTCGATCCAGGCTCCAAGGAGATCGATGCCAAACACTGTCCAAAGCGGGCCTCAGGGTCTCACTCCTGTCCCCATCAACGTTTCCGTCGGGTTGTTTAAAACAAGCATAGGTTTTTTGATAAGAAAGACGTTTTGAAGACCCATCGGTTGTAGGAGCGTTTCAAGGTTTCGCTGTGACAGGGCAGCATCTGAAAATCAAGCGGCTCGTGCTGTTTCGTGGCCGAGGACCATTCATGCTTGTAACCTGAAGAGCAGTAATCCTTTTTGCTCAAGGATTCTTTGGGTTTTATGGGGAAAGTATTGACAATATCTCAGATCGGATGGCTTTTGAACGGCTTTGGGGTTCTGTGTTGGGGGTTCCTAGGCCTTGTCAAAACCGTTCAGGTTCGGGTTGTCGGGTCACAGGGCCTGCAGGTGCAGGGTTCGAAGATTTTGTTTGATTTTTTCAATTTTCCGGGTCTCAGATTAGCTGCTCTGGGCGGCAAGGTAATTGTATCTGAAATCAGGTCAATGGCAGTCAGAGCCGTGCATGTTTCCTGGGCTCCGAAGCATTTCCTAACTCATCAGACACTCCCTAGCTGGGTAGGAAGCCCCTGACCTTGGGTTCATGTTCATCCGACCATGTTTCGAAACTTCATCAATCGATGTTGCGCTAAGCCACAAGCCCGAAGAAAGGGTTTTGGGTTTAGGGTTTCGAAGACTTGCCCTAAACCCTAAGCCACAAGCCGGAAGAAAGGTCTCCGGGAGTCCACCAACGGCTCCGATGGCCCGCAAAGAATGACCACCCGTTGGAGACTCGAGCACTTGGAAAGGCTTGGGGATTGTATACTAATGCGGGGGACCCTAATATAGTGGACCCTATAGTATAGTACCCTAACTAGTAGGATCCTTATGAATTATAAGGACCCCCAAATAAGGTAGGGCCGCTGTGGGAGATTTTGAAGCTCCATCCTGAGTGTTGGATTTTTGTGCTTCCTTGGGATTTTCTTGCTTAGGTTCAATCCAGTGGCTTAGAGGATGTGCAAAGACGGTTTCGGAGTGCTTCGCACGCATGTTGTCGCAGCGAGCCCGCTCCCCCACGTTCGCAAGATGCTCGGGCTCAAGATTCAGTCCGGGGACCTCCGACACAACTATGGTCTGCGGTAACGCCTCGAACGATGCCATGAGCAAGAACCGTCCCGCTATGACATTTGATATCATACTAGTTGCGTAGCAGTCCTCTTACTAGCAACAGCACCGACAGTCATCAACATCGCTATCATCATCATCATCATCATCATCATCAAGACATCGTTGATCATGGTCGTCATCCTCGTCATACCCGTCATCATCAGTGTATATGTCTATAATCACCAGTGCTTTCCTTGTCGTCGTTTGCTTGGCCGTCGACCTTGCTTTCGGTTGTATCGGTACATCATCGTGGACGGACTCCAGGGTCCCATCACTTTCCCGATGCTTTGGTAAAGTTGAATAGCAGGAACGGCACCTTTGCTCGCGGGGTTCCTGGGATCTCAACCCCCGAAAGAGCCACCACCCCAGAAAGACGCCGTCCAAAGCAAAATGCACCTACCCCCTAAACCCGACCTAAACCCAACCCCTAAACCCGGACCACACTAAAGAAACCACAGCAAAGCTTGCCTCTTAGACCGTAAGGCATGAACCTCTAAACCTCAAAAAAAACCTGCAACACACTGCCTCACCAAAACCCACAAAAAGCATCTAAGCAACCCCCCTAGGCCCCTGGGCTTCGACCCGCGACCGGTGTTTTTTCTCCGGTGGCTGAGGTGAGTTGGCCTCGGCACTGGAAAGCCCTTCGGTTGCAGACAAAGGTGTGAAAAAACAGGGAAGGGGTGACACCGATTAGGTTTTTGACGATTGTGTGACGACGACGATTACAACTGGTTGTACTCCTATTACCACTTCTACCACTAGTACTGCTAAGAATGCTACGACGACTAGTAGTAGCACTAGTAGCACTAGTAGCACTAGTAGCACTAGTAGCAGTAGTAGTAGTAGTAGTAGTAGTAGTAGTAGTAGTAGTAGTAGTAGTAGTAGTAGAAGGAGTATACCCTCGATTTATCCAGGGTCCGGAAGGGTGGCCCTGGGTACCCTTGGGAACAGGGTCCGAAAGGGTCGCCCGACCCATTCGGACCCTACCTCAGATATTAGAAAAGCAAGCCAGTTAAAACCAGATTTAACTTGCCTGCGGTAGTCCTGCGGTATCACCGCACCGAAAGAATGCCTTTTGGGGGGTGGCTGACGGGGGGGGGCACTAGGCATTGAAATACCTTGTAGACCCCCGGAGTGCCTTGTATGGGGGTCATAGAATATGAGAGAATAGGTGTGCTGGCGAGTGGTACAAAACATTTACCCTGAAAACCTAAACCCTGAAACCTATACACCAAAATCCAAAGACATCCAAAAACCTCAAAATCCAGAATCCTTGGAAGAGCCCCTGAACCCACAAACCCCTAAACCCAGAAATTCTTAACCCTTATGTCGCTTATGTCCCGCAGTAACCCAAAACCCCAAGCGCAGAAACCCTAAACCCAGAAAGCCCTTGAACCCAGATACCCACCAAGCCCCCAAACGCAGAAGCATTGTACCCAAGCGCCTGAACTCAGAAACTGAAAACCCAAAACCACTGAACAGAGGAACCGCTGAACCCAGAAACCCTAAACCCAGAATCCCAGAAACCCTGAGCCCATATCCCAGAAACCTTAAACCCAGAATCCCAGAAACCCTGAGCCCATAGCCCAGAAACCCTAAACCCAGAAACCCAAAACCTTGTACTCCAAACCCTTGAACTCAGAAGCTAACAACCCAGAACACCTAAACCCAGAAGTTCTGAACCCCCAAATCTGCGAGTAAGCCCAGAAACCCTGCACGCAGAAACCCTAAACCCAGAAAACTCCTGAAGCCAGAAATGCAGAACCCAGAAACCGCAAACCCCGGAAGCCGCAGACATCATAACCTGAAACCCAAAATCACCGAACCGAGAACCGCTGAACCCAGAAACCGCAAACACCCAAACACAGAAACCCTGTAGAACCCAGAATCCCTAAGCCCTTAAACCAAAACCTTAAACCCCTGGACGCTGCACCGAAGCACAATAGCGGCTTGAAGCAAGTCACATGTCGTGCTCGAATCGAGTGGCCGACATGCCGACGCCACAGGGGCGACGCCGGGCGTCGCAACAGGAATCCACCGAGCGGCGCCCGGCGTCGCCCACACCTGTGGGAGATGAAGGAGTAGTAGCATTAGTAGCAGTAGTAGCAGTAGTAGTAGTAGTAGTAGTAGTAGTAGTAGTAGTAGTAGTAGTAGTAGGCAACCGTAGTCGTACTACTGCTACTACTCCTCCTCCCGCTGCTGCTGCTGCTGCTACGACTACTACTGCTACTACTACTTCTACCACTACCGCCACGACTGCCACTGCCACCACGACTACCACTGCGACTACCTCTACCACTATTGCTACCAGTACCGCTCCCCACTACAACTACGACTTCGACGACGACTGCTAGCAGTACTACCACGAGTACGAGTACTTCTATATTACTATCATTGCTATACCCCTTGCATAGTGCCAACCCCCGAAGACACCATCACCAAGGCAGCAAAGGCCTGCTTACGCCGGGGTCCCAAGCTGCCCGGGCTGGAGAGACCCGTTTCGGAGCAGATCCGCTCTGGGCGGTAGCTCTTTGTAACTTAATGTTTGCGGCCTTTTGTATAACTTCCCGACCTGAGGCCGGAAATCTAAAACCTTGTATCGGGCACTTGGACCCTTTCAGTGGAGGCTAGGCGCAGGGCGAGGTGCAGGCATCGACGCTGTGAGGGGGCACCCAGTAAGAAGCACCGAAGAGTACCAAACGACCGGCAGCTCGCATTCTGCTTCCAGGTCCAATATGAACTCCGAGGCTCTTGCCAAACTGCACAGGATGCAGCAGGACTTGGGTATGTGTAGTGATTGGTCCTTGCCGATTGCATGTTGCAGATGCGTCCTGCCGATGACAACTCTCCTGTGCTGATGTCCTCGTTGCTGCATGAAAGATGCACCTGGAGCAAGTTCGGACTTACCGTAGGGGCTGAGTATTATTGCTGCTGCTGTGATGGCTGCGACCGCCGTCGACAATCATTCTGTGACTGTTAAGTCTGCAAAGTGTGCATCAGCATCGTGGCTGGTTGGATTGAATGGAATGCTTAAGCTGGTCTGCACTTATACCACCCTTCAATCTTTGACAACAGTCTTAACACTGCATCCGCGGCCACTTCTTTGTGTACCCTTTTGCCGATATTTGTGTTTGATATTGAGGGGATTGCTATCACCTGTGTGCCCTTTGCCTGTGATAAAACTTGATAAAACATGATAGTTTTACTCTGTCCAGTATCGTGACAACGTCTTACGATGCTGTCATGCAGCATATCCGACGCCTCCACGCCAGCCGCCGATCTTGCAGTGTATGAGCAAGCTCGTTGCAAGGTTCCCTCACACCCCCTTCCGCTTGCTTGGGCCATCTTGGGCCACTTTGGCTTTCGGGTGCCAGTAGGGTTGAGGAGCCAGACAGTTACGAAGGGTGCTTCCTCGTTCCATTACTTCTAGTTCGGAGCTCTTTAAGAGTTTCGGGACTGATGTGGGGCCTCATCATAGGGGCTTTCATAATTACCTATACTATTTTGGGGGGTTCCTGATTACAACTAGAATATATTGGAGTATTTTGGGCCCCAAAACCCTAGTCTAATTATTAAGGCCCCTATATTAGGTACCCCATGATCGCTTGAAGATGAAAGCTTTGAGTTTTGCGTAGTAATGATAGCAGAAAGAGTATGAATAAGAGTATAATCACAATGATAGTTATATTATTATTTGCAATATTCGTAATATTAGTAACAATAACAGCTGTCTGCGCTCTGGGCCACCGGCACCAGGAGATCAGCAAGAAAGAGAAGGCTCCCAGCTCTTAGACTTACTGGCTTCTGGGCTTCCTGTACCCGACTGGGTATGTATGCATGCATGGATGACATAGCTGACATAGATGCATATGTGCGTATATGCATATATACATATGCATGTGAGTGATGCTCAAAAGTCGAGCTCAAGGAGTGCATAGGGGTCTTGCTCTTCCGCATCATCGTTTCGGCCGTGCCGCCGTATCTGCAGCCCATGCCCCCATCGCAAAAGCTTTGTTTGATTTTGTAATGGTGTTACCGCTACAAGTGCATGTAAGTGGTAAAGGAGAGCTTCACATTACAGCCAAGAATTTTGTTGGCAGAGGAGCCAGGAAAACTGTCTGCTAGTTCTGGTCACCGCGGCAGCAGCCGCCTTCGATCCCAGGGATATCAAGAGGGGCAGTGCCATGCAAAAAGCACAGCGAAGGCGGCGATAATATCCGTAAGCGGTATATATATACACATATATATATATATGTGCATGTATGTCTGCTATGTATGTATGTATGTACGTATGTATGTATGTATGTATGTATGTATTTATACGTCTATATTCATGCCCTCAAGATCCCTGAACACACTCAGACACTCCTCCCCGCTAAAGGATCCGATCCCAAAGGACCTCCGAACCAAACGAAGCCCAAATCTCTCACACTTTAGTGACCTTTGGTTAGTTATTATGGGGCCTTAATAATCCTACAAGGGGATCTATAAGGGTACTATAATATATGGGGCCTTAATTATCCTATAACTGACCTTTGGTTAGTAGGGAATGGAGACATGGGGTACAAGTATAGCTGCTATTACTACCATTCTTCCATTCCCTACTAACCAAAGGTAAGTTTAGGCAACCTGGAACCCAGGCTTCGTAATGACCGTGAGGGTTTCGCATGTGGGGATGTGCAGAGTCGCAGGCCATCGGCGAAATCTCGTCGCGGGTGCGGAAGGCCAGGTGTGATCGTTCTAAGCTTGTGTCTTCCTTCCAGAATACCATGTGAACATTCACAGCGGTCGCAGTTCCAATTCGAGCAGTCCTTAATGTTATACTACTATAAACTACCATGCCCAGCAGTACCTCTATCTGAAAATCTGAGTCTATCTTTTCCGCCACTTGGTCCTTCTCAACCCACGAAGCTCGGTGGCTAGGGAGCTGCCAGCCGGGACTTCAATCTCAGCCATAGATTCAATCCGTAGCATGTGTGTCATTCCCTTGCAGATGTGCTCAAGGCAGTTTAATTTCTGGCCAGAGCTTGTCCAGCGATCCCTTTGCTGAAGCCCCGGTTGTCGAGGATTCTGGTGGCAAGTCCCCGACCAGTGTGATCCAAGAGGCGTCTTTTCTTTTGATGCCGGGCCTCGTTGTGAAGGTTCTGCATGGTTAGAGTCCCCAAAGGTACTGCTTTCGGTTGTAAAGAAGAAGGACGACGAAACATCATGTAGGGAGCCAGGTTTTCAAGGGGCTGGGGTTCCGGGAGCTTTGGGCCCAACGCCAACAGCCTCCGTTATTGAGTCGATGTTGAAGGCTGCATGCAAGATTGATGCTTCATGGGGTTTACGATATCGGAGCTGATATCGAAAACCAGCCTTAAAGCAGGGTTCCACATCAGGTGCCGCGGCATATATTTCGCACGACACTGCAATATGATAATTATGCAGCTACACCTAGAGGCACTGTATCGTGGATGGAATGCTGCAGCCCTACGTGGTGAGCACATCGCTGCTATGCAAGACGATGCAATTACAAGGTTGCTGTGGCACAAGCTTATGGTAGAGCCCAGTGTACTGTAGAATCTGCCAGCACCACGGGAACATTTTTTAATGCAGGCACTCTTGTTTCAGCATTTTCTGAATCTGCAGGTGAGCCTCAATTGTATCGCCGCCTGCTTGCAGAGCTGGGGAGGGTGGACAGGGTCCGGGTCAGGATCGGGATTTGAGGGTTCAAGGTTTGGTGCTTGGAAGTGTAGGGTCTGGAGTTTTGTGGTTTGGGCATCAGGCACCTGGACGAGGCTCGGGCCGTATCACAATCTAACAGTATGGACCAGATATCAAAAAGAAGACTGGTCAGAGCAACTCTAGAATGAAATACCAGTAGCAGTGATAACATTGAAAGTTCTGTCGAGACTAACAATCATCTTGATGCATCTCGAACATACCTCCAGTATTTTTGCCCGTCAGCAGCAAAGCTTGAATGGGGCGAGATGGTTGCTTGATCTCAAGTGCCTTCCATTTGACGAAAAGTGGGGTTCCAATCCTGCCGGGATTACGGAGGAAGACAACACGCTAGACTCGGGTCTCGTGGCAAACAATCGTACCTCGAACCGTACCTGAGAGTTCATGGGTGCTTAGAAGCAGAACCAATTTAAATTCTAAGCCCTCAACCCGAAGTCCTACATCCCCAGAAGCCTAAGCCCTGAGTGCGCTTTTGCTCTCAACCGACTCAGTTGAGCAGCCGGTCTTTCGGCCTCTTTGTTGCGTCCATGATCGTTTTCAACTCGATCCTTCTGGGCCTCGATGTCAAGCGGAACCAGTCAGAGCTGGAAACACAGGCGACGTACTGTTCTGGGGGCTCCTTATTGTATTGATAGTATATAATGGGCCAAAGAACCTATTCTAATTATTGAGGCCCCTAGAGGGACTGCAGCGGTTTGCCAAGTCTTGAGGTGCCCTGTGCAGTTGTCAATTGTTGGCATAATGCCTAAAACTATAGCGGTTGCGCGGTCTTGTAATCATCACATGGGTGGTTGTCAAAATTATGGTCCCTTTTTGGGGTACCCCAAAATATTAGGTGCCGTATTATAATAAGGGCCGCCCAAAAAGGACCCACATCTGACCAGCTGGTCTCTCCCGTCGGGTTTCGGTTACCAGATCCAGCTTTTTGCACCCCGAAGCCCCAAACCTCAAGCCCCTTGCTGCAAGCCCTGAACCCCAGCCCCTGAAACACGAGATCTGAAGACTACAGGGGCCTAAGTAGTTACCAGTACTATTCTGGGGGTTCCTCATTATGTTTATGGTATAATATACCCCCCAAAACCCCTATTCTAAATATTAAGGCTCCTACATTAGCTTCTCGACGCCCTGGCTCTGTCCGTTGCCCCTGCAGATCCTACGCGTCCTGGGCGAGGTGTGTAACGGTTTCTTCTTTATTGAGCTTTGCCTCCGCCTGTGGTGCAGCTCGGATGAAAAAAGTCCATAACCCCCAAATCCTTTAACCCTAAGCCCCAAACCCTAAAAGCCCAAACACAGATAACCCCTCATCTTTGCAACTCCCGCATGGTGGTCCCGAACTGAACCGAGAACGAGCCAGCTAACGCAGACGGATCTCGTCGAGGATCCCGTCCGGTTGCAGAGTTGTACTTTGTGGTAGCAGAACTGGTAGCATTATATATGTAGTAAACAAAAATACCCATAAGCATAATCATAATCAGAATAATAATAACAACCATATGTATATACATGTATATATACATCCATTCATAATAATATATATATATATATATATATATATATATGTATGTATGTATTTGTCTTATTCTATATTCTATAGTTGCATATATATATAATATTATATGTATTGCATGTTATATTATATTATATTATACTATATTATATTATATTATGTTATATCATATTATATTATATTATATTACATTATATTATATTATATTATATTATATTATATTATATTGCACTATATCATATTATATTATATTATATTATATTATATTATGTTGCATTATATTATATGACATGATATTATATACTATATACTATATATACACACTATAGTATATATTTACATATTTCTTTATTTTCAAATTTTCTGTTATGTTCATATATGTATATTCATATACATTTATGTGTATATTTATATACTTATATATTTGCATATGCGTTTTTTTCATGGCTTAGGGTTTAGAAGGCTTCTTTGCGTATTCCCCGTGATCTCATCGACATTTGGTGGGACTCACCCCCAATGTGGCTGCCTGAGTATACTGACTACTCTGAGGTGGCTCATGTTGGGTTAGAGGCCACCTCCAATCATGTACAATAATTCCAGGCCGCACGAGGTTCGTCGGCTCTCGAATCTTCTGCCCACGAGTTCATTATCTCTTCCTTAATCGTTCAATCAGGCTACAAAGCCAGTTTCGTGTACGGCGAGGATTATGGCCCGGGTTCCCAGAAACAGCTGAGGGTCAGAGGAAGACTTCTGTTGTTTGTTCTGCTGTAGGCTGTTCTGTACATGGCGTCCCTGACATACAGTAAAGTAAACCATGAATAGCAAGATCATGGAGGAACCTTTCTTCAACAAGCCATAACATCATGCCACTGGCTTGAAGATGGTGGCGGTTGATCGTGAATATGGTGACGGACACGACGATGACGCCAAGAATGATGAGAACGATCGTGATGTAGGTAATTATTATGATTTTGGTGGCGATTTTTACCATAGTGCTGGCGGTGATGCTGTTGTTGTTCAGGATGATGGTCACACTTGCGATTCGGCATTGCGCATCCGAGTTGACACACTTCTGATCACCAACCTTCCCATGCAAGATGTTTTGGCCAAAGACATGTCACAGTCACAGACATGAGCCAACATGTTGTCGCCGTGGCAGATGGCGAGGAGCGAGACTGGCTGTTCGAAACAGTGAGAGACGGAGACCTGGCCGAGGCCAAAGAAGCATTGGCCAAAATGAACATGTCCGAGCTGCACAGCAGCCTGAAGCAAAACGCACTGTTTTTTGTAGCAGCTCGACGCCGCCGTGGCTGTGTGCTGCTGGCGAAACTCTGCATCAGACAAGGCGTTGACCTCGAGCAGGTAGACACCAACCAGCAGACGCCGTTGTTTTGGGCTGCGGCTTCCGGGAATCTGGCCATGTTGGAGTTCCTCCTCAACTTCGGCTTCGAGGCGTGAGGGATGATGAAAAGCATAGTCTTCGCTGTCGGGATTAAAATAAGCCTGTCACGACGTTGACAAGGTGGCCTATGTAGAAAAGAGATACAGGATTCAACTAGAACGATGACGTCGATGTCCCTGCAAACCGATAGGAGTAAAATATAATGAAAACAAAACTAGCAGTCAAGGAAACACGTCTTGTCTTGAATTGTCTTGTATTTCAAGCTCCGCAGGTGAACTTCAGAGACCTCAACAGAAAAACTGCGCTGTTCTTTGCCATCAGCTACAAGCACTGGGACGTGGTTAACTTTCTCATTGAGCGCGGGGCTTCGTTGGACGTGAGGTCCACCAGCGGACAAAAGCCACGATCGATGCTGAAATCTGCTCAGCACGAAATTCCGGAAAGGAAGCGCAAAAGAGCTCCGCCAGCGCCGAACAGCGCATGTCCAGGCGCGCCAACGAAGATCCGCTTTGCCTTGTGGGAATGGGGGGACGAGGATAGCGATCCTTTGATCGAAAGAACAACCGAGAACGTCGTCGTGGAGAACGCAGAGTATCTCAGCTGTTGAAGCAATATTTAACCAATCACCTTTCTGGCATGTGTTTTTGTATGTGTGCATGTGTGAGGCAGGTCTTTGCGTGAGTGAGTGGGTAGGTAGGGTATGTAGGTGTAGGTGTGTGTGTGTGTGTGTGTGTATGTCGTGTGTTGGGACCGATCATCCGGACAACGAAGGTTTTACGTGTGCCAGTCGGTGCCAAACTGTTCAAAGCGTTTGAGGCGCATGGAGCGTGAGTTCTGCTCTGATCACGCTCACCTTCATGAGCATCACCAATGGTACAATGGTTTGGAGCCACAGCAAGCTGCTGGCCTGGTCAACGTCTCCTTCAAAGATGAGAAGTCTTACTTGCAACGGATTGACGAGCTCGCAACTGCATCATGCGATACCGGCTTCACCCTACCAGCTGTCTCGCGTGAAACTCGAACAGTGGCTGGGTACGTCCATGCAACTTTCGATAGCGAGACGTTGAAAATTAAGCAATGCAAGGTGGACAGGCCCCACCAAGGAAAGGGCCTGGGGGGTCTGCTGCTCCAGGCCGCCGAGGAGCGTGCCCGCAATCTCGGGGCTTCATTCTGCAAGGTCAAGTTGACCGTCCTGGACAGCAATGAGCCTGCCAAGAAGTGCTACGACAAAGCCGGCTTCAAAGTGTGCTCCAGAAGACCTTCGATTTTTCCGCCTTGTTCGTGTCCAGCCGGCCAATGCGGCCACCAGAAGATGCAATGGTTGGACATGCAGAAGTCCACGAAATGAACTAACGTTTGAAAGTGTCACATGTGTCACCCTGCCGAACGTCGGCATTCCATGCTGCATTCGTCGCCCAAAAGATTTGCGCACGATTCCGGGAACGACCCCAGTTGAACTGCACGTCGGAGCAGAGCCGGTTGCTGGTGGTTTGATGTTTTTGCATGCGATTGACTTTTGAGTTTGAGCGATTCAGCTGCATTTGCTTCGCCCCTGTTAGAGGTTGGCAACAGCGCTCTGCCTGACTTGTGCCATGCCAGTCCAGTCGGATACAATAAGAAAGTCCATGGTTTAATGACATCCGGAAAGGGGTTTCGGGGACCTCTACGCTCTCGGTCCCAGGCTGGAACCTTTTCGATTCATTCCTGGTGGTGTCGTCTGTCCTCGATGCCGCAGCCTTAGCGGGGTCGTTGTGGTTTGTAGTTTTTCACGTCGGAGTCGGGGAAAAGCATTCGTGTCAGGTTTCAGCCTCAAGCCCTAAACCTTGATGCAAGGGCAGCGAGCAAACTCGGTCTTCGGCTTGTGAGCCTTCCTTCACTCCCATTGTGGGGTCATACAAACCAACCAAGAAAGAACATTGAACGACCTTTCCGATGCCTTTTGGCTTTTAGAGTTGATGGTTTGGTTTTCAATCTTTCAGGATGAATGGTCTGACTTTGAATTTACGGTGTATAGGATTTAGGGCTTAGGCTGAACCGTCAGCCCGGCCAAACCTTGGTAGACTATTGGAGCAGGTCGCCAGTTTTGAACTGTTCGTCATGGACTCTTGTGGCGCGACACAGCCCCCGCTCATGCGTGTTCCATGTATCTCCGGAAGACGTTATGGCTGAACTGCCAGGTCATATTAACCTATACCGCCGCGGACATCTCCCCGGCCCTCGCCGCAAGCATGAAGATGTTGAAGCTATTTCGGACTGGGAATCAGCATGGTCTGACAGGTTTTCTTAACCAACGAACCTCATGCAGGGAGACGGAAGGGTTGAACACTTGACGGCATGAGGGATGGACCGGCTCGGTACCAGTTTTCGACCTTCTGCACATTCAGCCGCAGAGCATGTGCCAGATGTTGCTGACTTTGAGACAAACCCATGCCCTTGAACATACCAGCAAGGGCCAAAGCGATCAGACTGCCCGCAGGATCATGCGCGTCTTCCGAGTCTTCCGATTCTTCAGAGAGCTCGGGAACTGGGCGATGATGATTCTGGCACTGCAAGATGGATGTGTGTGCACGCAGAATTCCAAGAATGTTTTGCGGTGAAGTGCGAGGGGTTGTCATGGAAGCGTCAATCAATGAGGGGATCCACAACATCCTTCAATAACCCCAGAACTCGAAACCGCTTTCTTGATTAGTTGTTTCCATGTATGCCGCAGCTGTATGGGGCGATATCTGCACCCTGCACCACATACACCACGCTAAGCCCTAAGCCAAACCATGAACCCTATAAGCCCTAAAACGCCCTGAGCCGAGGATCATCGATTCCTTGAAGTCGCTGTTCGGGGCATTGATCCTCCTCGGCCCCTCGGCTCGGACTCGGCAGAACATGTTCCGGCGCGATCGCTCAGCACAGGTATCATTGTCTACGTCTTTGCGGTGAGCCTTTCCATGAACACTGCAGACTGGCTTCTCCAACAGGACTCGGTCACGCAGCATGCAAAGTTGTCGTTCATAAGCGGCTAACTGATAGCTTTTGCCAGCCTTTGCTTCAACCGGCTTCCACTTTCCTGTCTGGTCGGATCACGGTGGCAGACGTGGAACCCTTCATGCACCTCAATGACCTTCCAAACCGGCAGGAATCTGCTGGCATGGTGGATCGAATGCTCTACGAGGATGTAGAGACCTGGTTCGGCTCGCTGGGCTCAACGGTGCCATGGCAGAAAGCCAGCTTCTTAATTCGATGATGCCGTTATAAAGTCATGGATGGGCACCTTAGGTAAACAATTCGAAACGGGTTTGGGGATTCATTAGAGTATACAGCATACAGCATGTAGGCCCAGGTGGGCACTATACGAGAATAGACAGTGTTGCTAGTTAGATTGTCGGAGCTCCAGAATGTCTTCATGAATCTAGCTCGGTCTGCCGCTCGCAGGATTTGACTTGAAACCGTCTCAGGAAGGATGTCACTACTTGGTCTACTTGGCTTCGCTACAGTTCGATACACTTTGCAGATTGAGCTGCTTTTCCACTAGCTGAGAGATTGTTGATCGACGTGATTTGCGGTGCTTGTTTTTGAGACGCAGCTTCAGAGGTTGGGCGGGGCCCATGTGAAACCAGCCAGGCTCCCGTCAAGCTAAATAACCCTTCCTACACCCTGAACCGAGACTTTAAATCCACAAAAGCCGAAGGCACGGACTCAAAACCCAAAACCCTGGCAGGCCTACAGATCAGCTCATGATCGAGCTAGCTTTTAAGCCCAGGGTAATCCTTAAGCCTGTGACCCTCAAGCCCCGTAAAGCTTAAATGTTAACACTAGAACTAAAAACAAGAACAACGCCAAACCACCCCCAAACCCTAAACCCAAGCCAGGTTTATACATTAATGCTGTCGATCCTTGGGGGCGTCAGCTGGCACATCGTCTGCCCGGGGCTCAGGGAAAGGGCAAGCCCTGGGTCAGCTTCGAGGACGTGTGCTGTGCGGTTCAGGGCTTCAGGGAACGTGTGGAGCGAATTTGGGGGGTTTAGGGTTTAGGGTCTCTGAGGGTTTGGGGTTAGTGTAGGGCTACCTGCTGCAAGAATGAGTCATAGATACTGCTGCTCGTAAGAGCCGCGACAGCGCCCAGCGTTCTGCACGGAGCAAGGAAGATCGTCACGAGGTGTCATAGCATGATGGGCCCCAACTTGTCAACACTAATTATTAAGGCCCCTGTAGTAAGCCCTTTATGATCTCGGGGCTTGGGCCGGGTTCCAGTTCTGCGGTTTTGTGTTCTTGGACTGTGACTATTAGCATGAGGCGTAGGGGTTCGGCCTTGCATGCGAGCTCCCGATACTCGCTCCACCGACGTGCTCATGCAAGCCTTGGTGTTTCGATATTTCAGTACCCCTCTAGTGCTACAAGGACAGGCTGACCTTGCACCGTAGGCCTCCTCCCCACACACACACACATGCGCACGCGCAGCTGTACCAAACAACTTCAAATCTCGGTCCGAACGACTCACAGTCCAGGCGACCTCCTCTTCAGAATCGACATCCTGTCAGCGTGCATGCTCCTGTTTTACATTATGTTCACCATCTTCTCTGTGCTGAACGTGATCACAGGACGGGCGAAATGAGAGGGTCACGGTGTGAAGGGTCCGTCTTCGAACCCTGACACATGTAGGCCCGCACTGCAGCCAAGTTGTTGCGTCATGCTGAAGCGGTTGCAAGTCATGGCATCACACTGCAGCCCGCATGATCCCCAAGCTCCTGCAGACACATCTGAAGCGACACCCGGCATCCGATACTGACTCCAAACCCTGCATGTGTAAATCGGCAAATGAATAAAGCAATAAGTCAACAATACAATCAACTTGCACATGTCTAAATATACAAGCATATATATATATATATATGTATATATACATATAAATAAACAAATAAATAAAAATATATATATATATATATTCTATATTGTATTCATGTACATATATACTTATACACACTACAACGACGCCATCAACCCCAAAGCTTCTTTAGCACCGACTCCTTTGGCGAAGGAGTCTTCGTGGACTCGGCCATTCAGACGACGAACTCCCAGCGGGACATTCAGATCGAGCGAGAGCTCGAGTTGAAGGACGCAAAGTGTACTATAGGGGCCCTTTTTTGGGATCCTGAAAGGGTTCTATAAGGGAGTACTATAGGGGCCCTTTTTGGGGATCCTCAAAGGGTTCTATAAAGGAGTACTATAGGTGCCCCTTTTTGTGATCCTCAAAGGGTTCTATAAGGGATTTATAATAGGGTTCTGTGATGTAGGGACCCGAGTAGTACTAAACTAGATATAGTTACCTATACTAATTTGACTAGGGTGCCTTGAAAAGGGGACTACAGATTATAAATTATATAATGTAGGGGCCTTAATAAAAGTTGCCTATGCCATTTCTTTTTTTTTTGGGGGGGGGAGTTCCTTATTATAAGTATAGTAGAATATGCACCAAAACCGTTGGCTAACTAGTAAGACCCCTATATGAGTATAAAGTCATCAGGTTTCACTTGGGCTTAAATTCTAGGGAGTTACACGGAGTGGTAGTTAGGACTTCAATTTTGGGAGAAGCGGAGGCGGTAGGGCCTTGGGGTTTAGAAAGTTGGCGACGGAGGGTTCGGACTGTCAGGTTAGGGTTTGCTCAATCCACTAGTTGGTTTAGTCCCATGGCTTCACGATTGCCAGTCTTCTTGTCATAATTGTCATTGCTGCTGTGGGTATTTCAAGCGCTCGTATCAGCTGGTTCCTTGCTTCTGATTCCCAGATTTGGAGTTTCCGAAAATAGGGGACCTATAATATAGTACCTGAAAGAGTAGGATCCTTAAAGGACCCCCAAAATAAGGTACCCCTAAAATTCGGAAATTCCCAGATCTGTGCAGGACTCCTTCCTGAAGTCTCTCAAGGACTTCTTCGAGGCTTTGGACACGGACGGCAACGGCGCGATCCATTTGGATGAGATCAAGATCATGCTGCAGGAGCTCTACTAGCAGCAGTAGGAGGAGGTGTAGTAGCAGTAGCAGTAGCAGTAGCAGTAGCAGCAGCAGCAGTAGCAGTAGTCGTCGTAGTAGCTGTGTTGATAGAAATCGAAGTAGTTAGTCGTCGTCGTACCGGCAGCAATAGGAAGAGCAGCCGTGGTTGCAAAATGCTGCGATCTTGGCGCTGAAGCTGAACATCATTGGAAAAGCAATACTTGAGTACCAGCGGGACCGTGTCGTGATGATTCCGGCTATTCCTGTTGGTGTTGTTGTCGCTGCTGCTGTTGTCGCATTTGTTTCCTTTGCTGCTGCTGTTTGTGCTGCTCCTCTGGCTGGTGCTGAAGCTGCTGGTGTTGTTGTCATTGTCGTCGTTGTCATCGTTCCTGTTGTTGATGACTCGGCTCATGGTTCTGCTTCTGCTGCTGCTGAAACTGAACCCCGAGTCTCATGCCGAAGCCATGAAAGCCGATTGACAGGACCAGACACTCGCCGCCTACTTCGCAGTCCCTTGGAGATCATGCTTAAAACTTACGGCAAAAAGTCGCAGGGACCGGCCTTCTGATGAGATTACTTGTTGGCACCCGAATGATTTGCAAGGTTCGGAACCTTGGTCGAGCGATTTCAGGGCTTGTGGGTTCAACGTTTAGAAGGTTGTAGCTTGAGGGATCGTTTGGCGAATTTCTGCCCCGATGTCCAGGAAGGAGGTCGATTACAAGTCCTGTACGATGAAGCTGAGGCCCGTAGTCGTGACCCCTACCGAAGTGCAGCAGGAGCATTGTTCATGCATGGTCGTATGTTGTTGGTTGTACGGACGGGGCAGCATGTCTTAAGTAGCCAGAAGTCCGTAATTACATACCCGTCACTGTTGGCGTCTTGTTGTCAACATGATACCGATTACTTGGTACCGATAGTATCACCAGACACCACTGCTGCAAGATCAGTGGCTGCGTGACTATGAAATCTTCACAAGATCCGAATCCCCGAATCCCGAGCTTCCACCACCCCCCCGAACGCTGAGATTCCAAAGCCACTACGACGTGAATCCGCGAAACCCTGGGCCTCCGAGCTCCCAGCCCCAAGCTCATGATCTTCTGACAGCGAGGAGCCGAAACTAAGAGCGATAGAATTCCCATCGAAGGCAAAACCTGAAGCCCGAAATTTGCCAGAACTCCTAAGCTCCTATAACTCTCCTTCGGAACTTGAAAGGTGCTGGGCTTTGACGAAGTCAATGCGCACCAAATCTTCCACCTGCTCGACGACGATGAGTCCGGCGAGGCGCAAGACGGGGTCATAAGAAACTGGGGGCCAGGGTTGGGAGTTTGGGACAAAGGGTTTTGATGCAGGGCTGAGGGTGAGGGCATGGGACGCCGATCCAATCCCGTGTCCCACCGGTGAACGCAGAGCATGGATCTGCGACCATTGCGGGGCGGGAGTCACGGCTGAAGAGCCGGTGAATGGCGGTCTTGCGGCACTTCTTGCCCCTGTATCCGAAGTGCATGAGCTTCTTCATGTGATTGCGTACGGGCTCATTCAACAGTGGTTCGATGTATAGTTGCCCTACTTACGCCCACAGTGACGGTTGTGCATGGTGCTTGATCCTTGATCATGGCCTGCTTCTGTTTTTCAGGTGAGCATACAGGAATTCCTTGACGGCTGCGCGAAGCTGAAGGGGCAAGCACGAAGCATCGACGTCCATGCGATCATGCACCAGTGCAGGCGAGCTGGTTGGCGACATTGCGACTGTGAATTCTGTGGGATGTGTGTTTGCGAAGGGCCGCCGTCGCAGGTTACTGTGGCTTGTATCTTGGTAGGAATGCTGCTTCTTTTTGAACGATCCACATGCCGAAGCTGCAGATCTACACCTCATCCTTCATACTACAGTCGAGCACAGTAGTCCTCCAGCATTACTACGGTAGTAGAATGCAGCACGTGACGCTGAATACTGGAACAGGACCCTCTGGGCCCGAAAGCCCTCGACCCAAGCCCTAAACCCTAAGCCCTGTACCCTAAGCCTAAACCCTAGGCCCTAAGCCCTAAGCCCGACACCCAAGCCCCATGTCAGGGCACTCCACCGTGACATCAGCTTCGTCGGCTCGCAGTTGGGTGTGGACCTGCATCAGGCAGCCCACGCAAGCCGGTATCCGCAGCTGCAAGCGTAGGTTAAGGGGGACGGGGGGGGGCACTTGAAGGTCGGAGAGGGCTTTCTGGGACGGAGGTTCCATCAAGCTGCACGGTGCACGTGAAGGGACCCTTGAAAACAGATATTTGTGACTGCGTTGCCGTGGTTTCCAGCGTTTAATGGTACTTGCTGGTAGGGTCTGGAATCCTGACAGGGGGACTCATATTTAATGTTATGCAGGGGATGCCTACAGTTGAGCACATCTCACTCATGGACTCGCAAGAAACCAAACATTGCTCGATTCTGAGCTTCGTTGTGGTCGTGGTGATGACCATGATGTTGCTGACAGTGTGGGAATACCAGTCAGGACAACGATGGCGGTCATCGCGGCTGCGCGCATTGTTCTCGTGATGCTGATCCTTCAGCTGCTTCCGTTGTTGATGTTGTGGCTGTGGTTGTGGTTGTCGTCGTTGTCGTGGTCCTCGTCGTCGTTCATCGTCCCTGCCGAAAAACCTTGAAGCCCGGCCTGCGTGCTCCAGCCAAGGCAGTCGCACTGGTTTGGGCGCCAAACACAGCTCCTTGGATTCGTCTTGGATGACCTTCTGGGTCCTTGGGGTTTGGTCTTTCTAGGATTCCATGTGCATGTACACTTAGACATATCACCCAAGCATATACCGATGTACTTGCGACTGTTCGACTTAGCAAGCACATATCTATTCCACCAGGCCTTTTCAATACTATCGAATCATTGAAATCGCCGGTGCTCCACGACGGGTCGGATTCGCAACCCTAAGGTGCAAAGGCTCATCTCCTCTTGTCGCTACACATGCAGCGTTGCTTTCCGTGTCCATCATCCCCCAGCTTTCGGCTGCACTGCTGCTGCAGGACATCCGTTCTGCAACCAAACTCAAAGCGCTTGAGTGCTGCCGCGTGAACGCGCGTTGAATAGAACCCTTTGTCTACCAGACCTGAGTAGGTCAGGAGCCAAAGGGTTTTAGTTGCTACTGCACCGGACCGTCACCGGAACTGCGTCTTTGAATGCTGTCCTTCAACTGGTCGTCGATCGAAGTCGTTGTAGAAAGATCAGTTTCGACGTTGTCGGCCCTGTCTGCGGCCTGTTCTGGACTTGTCCGTGACTATGCCTAGCGGTCTCCATGCATCCCAGCAAGTCCCGTCCGGCTGCAGCGAAATTACTCCTGCCTCGGCCTGAAAGGCCCTGGCAGCGAACGTTTCAGAGCAGCAAAGCTGCCGGTTTAGCCACCTTTCCCGTGGAAGAAGGGCGACACTCAGGGTGCGGTAGGGCACATAGAGTCTTAGACGTAGTGGCTGGCTGTGCTCGGCAAGTGTATTCCCGGCCTTTCAGATTTCCAAAGTCTGGTAGATGATGCCAACAACACATGAAAGATGCAGTCTGATGTTTTGGAGCTTGCAGATCTGCCCATGAGAGGCACTGTAATTAGGCAATCAGCAAACTTTCACATAGCATATCTCAGAAGCTGTCATAACATGCCTCAAGCGGTGCCTACGTGGAATGTGTGTCTTGACCTCGGACATCCAGGGACATGTACAAGATAATGATCGCATCTAACTCGTCACACAAGCCTTACTAACGTCACATATGACTCAACGGCATGCTTTCTCTTCGGATGGTACTGTCGTAGTACACAGAGTCTGGCATGTCGGGTGTGCAAGAGATATGATACTTCCGCCTTGTGGAAGCGGAACGTTACTGTAGATGTGTATTCCTCAGAATCAGAAATGCCGTTTTGTAGACGGTCCGCAGCAGGTGTTTGTGCACCCAGGCTAGAGCCCTCGGCCTAAATTTCTAGCTGCAGGCTCCCGCAGTCTCATCCGCATCCTTGGAGTTCCGAGATGCGCAGCCTAGAGCCTGTAAATCCTAAACGTCCAAGCATCACTAAACCCCGAAGGCTGAATCCCAAGCCCTGAAAACTGAAGCCTAAACCCCGGGGAGCCCTTCTTGAGGATGACAAGGTCTCACAGCCATCTGGGGGGCTGCTGCCCAAGCTCTCTGGGCGACTGAGGCATCTGACGCGACGAACTTGAGAAAACGGCTGTTAGCGGTGGGCTGGGTGGGCTAAGGGTGTCGACCGTCGGGTTCAGAATGTAGGGCCTCGGGTTCATAGTTGAGGCCCAAGCCTTAGCGGCTATTGTGTATGCCGATGTAACACGCATGCAGGCCTGGCCCATCACTGCGCCAGCACAGCCAAAGGTTGTAGGAAGTCGTCGAACAGGTTTTTGAAGAACTCCCATGAGCAACACCCCAGGAGTTGGTTGCGAACAAATCTTTGAAGTGTAAACTGCCGGTCGAAGGCATGGGGTCATTCACCTCAGACAGACTTAATACACCAAAGCAGAGACAGCAGCAAGCATTGCCGATGGCCGGCGAGGACGGGAGCAGACGTGTGGAAGACCCCTCAACCCTGGCACCTGACTGCGCTAGGCAGATGACGGCGAAGCTTTGGCTGCCTTGGTCACCGAGAACGAGGCCCGACATGGTCCTTTCCAAAACAGTGACGTGCCCAAAGAAGATGTGCTAATCTAGGGACCTCAATAATCCAAACCCTAATAATCTAATTATGAGGGCCCCTATATTAGCACGCTTTTTCCGAAGGACCTCGAGTTCAAGGAGGACGGCAGCGGGAAGGACCGCCTTGTAAACTGCTGCTGTTTGCCCTGCACAGTCGTCTTCCTCGCTGGTTTGTGTGATGGCCAGGTTGTCGTCAAGTCAACTGGTCATGAGATGCCTCCTCGACTTGAGGCTACTGGGAGGCATCAATTAAGCGGCAGAAGGGAGTTTTCCGGGTTTCCTGTCGAAACATGCTGAGGTTGTCAAGACCTACTTGAGCGGCGCGAAGTATCGGAAGGCATGTTTGACGCTGCTCAGCAGGGAGGGGTCTCCCGGTGCCTGTGCTTTTCTCGAGCATCCTTCCACAAGTGGTGTGAGAATCCAGAGGGACATCTTAACCTCTGGCCTTGCATGGCTTTTAGCTCGAAAGCTCCCGACCGATGGGTTTGTACCAGGATGCAGCTGGAGCTGGTGCTGCTGCTGATGATGATGCTGATGACGATGCTGATGCTGATGACGAGGATAGGCCCAGCTGGTTTTTCTGGTAAGATGCTCGGGCTCAATGAACCAAGACCTGCAACTGCTGGCAAGGCAGTGTGTCGGAATGGGTGTGAAATTGGAAGAAGTGGACGTGCACGGGCAGACTCCTCGCTGGGCTGTGTTCCTGCAACGAAGTTCCTTTGTCTATGGACCTCAAAGTGACTCTGAGAAATCACAGCACGAAGACAGCCCTGTTCCCGGCCATCGTGGAGGGTCACGCGCATATTGAACGACGGGAAGACCACATGCTCGTGGAAAGCCGTACGGGCGTTCGACTTTCAAGACGGGGCCGCCTCGGGGTGTTTGATTATTTCTAGAGCTCTGGCACCACGAGAAGCACATCCCAGCCGCCACCGGATCATGTAGGAATCGCCAACGATGTTGTTGCTGTCGGGAGGCTCGTGAGTGGTATGGCTACGACTTCAGCAAGTTTGAGCCGTACATCATTCCGAGCGGGCCTCAATTTTCCCGTCTGAGCTTCAGAGTTCCAGACGAGCTTCGGGTCCTGCGTTTGGTCCCTGCGACCCAAATGCCCCAGGCACGAGAAGCAGAAAAAGTTTCTCTTCTGCACGGTGCGCTGCCCAGCCTCTCCAGGACCAGCAGCAGATCTGGTCATATAGGGGCCGATAAAGCTACCTATTCTATTTTGGGGGTTCCTTTCTGTAATTATAGTATCATGCGCCCCACAATCCTATCTCTATATTTTATTAAGGCCCCTATAGAAAGTCCTCCATGCTTGGGAGGATCTTTGCGAGTAGCCAACAACTCTAAGTGCAGAAGCAAGACAGTGGCATTATGGCTAGTAAGCCCACCTAAACCTGTGCGGTACGGATGCGCATTGATATTCATAATCTCACTCTACCCCTAAACTTACGAGCATCGTAGTCCGAAGTACTGAAGTACTCCGTTCATGAACCTGTGCTGCACTTACCTGCGTACTTATGCATGCGCAATCTTGAAATCCAACCTCCCAAGTCCTATTTCTGAGCCCCTAAAGCCCTACACCTACACACCTGAAACCCCCGAAGCCCTTTGACCCCTAATGTAAACCATTCCCTAAACCCCTCAACCCCTAGACCCCTAAACCCTAAATGAGCCCTGAACCCCAACCCCTAAACTCCTATAAACCCTAAACCCCTTCCCCCCTAAACCCGTATTACATGTTATATCATTTTATATTATGTTGCGTTATATTATATGACATGATATTATATTATATGATATATCATAATATATATATATATATATATATACACACTATATTATGTATTTACATATTTCTTTATTTTCAAAATTTCTGTTATGTTTATATGTGTATATTCATATAGATTTATGTGTATATTTATATACTTATATATTTGTGTATGCGTTTTTTTTTTTCATGGCTTAGGGTTTAGAAGGCTTCTTTGCATATTCCCCGTGATCTCATAGACATTTGGTGGGACTCACCCTGTGCCCGGAAAGCCCAATGTGGCTGCCTGAGTATACTGACTACTCTGAGGTGGCTCATGTTGGGTTAGAGGCCACCTCCAATCATGTACAATAATTCCAGGCCGCACGAGGTTCGTCGGCTCTCGAATCTTCTGCCCACGAGTTCATTATCTCTTCCTCAATCGTTCAATCAGGCTACAAAGCCAGTTTCGTGTACGGCGAGGATTATGGCCCGGGTTCCCAGAAACAGCTGAGGGTCAGAGGAAGACTTCTGTTGTTTGTTCTGCTGTAGGCTGTTCTGTACATGGCGTCCCTGACATACAGTAAAATAAACCATGAATAGCAAGATCATGGAGGAACCTTTCTTCAACAAGCCATAACATCATGCCACTGGCTTGAAGATGGTGGCGGTTGATCGTGAATATGGTGACGGACACGACGATGACTCCAAGAATGATGAGAACGATCGTGATGCAGGTAATTATTATGATTTTGGTGGCGATTTTTACCATAGTGCTGGCGGTGATGCTGTTGTTGTTCAGGATGATGGTCACACTTGCGATTCGGCATTGCGCATCCGAGTTGACACACTTCTGATCACCTACCTTCCCATGCAAGATGTTTTGGCCAAAGACATGTCACAGTCACAGACATGAGCCAACGAGTTGTCGCCGTGGCAGATGGCGAGGAGCGAGACTGGCTGTTCGAAACAGTGAGAGACGGAGACCTGGCCGAGGCCAAAGAAGCATTGGCCAAAGTGAACATGTCCGAGTTGCACAGCAGCCTGAAGCAAAACGCACTGTTTTTTGTAGCAGCTCGACGCCGCCGTGGCTGTGTGCTGCTGGCGAAACTCTGCATCAGACAAGGCGTTGACCTCGAGCAGGTAGACACCAACCAGCAGACGCCGTTGTTTTGGGCTGCGGCTTCCGGGAATCTGGCCATGTTGGAGTTCCTCCTCAACTTCGGCTTCGAGGCGTGAGGGGTGATGAAAAGCATAGTCTTCGCTGTCGGGATTAAAATAAGCCCGTCGTTGACAAGGTGGCCTATGTAGAAAAGAGATACAGGATTCAACTAGAACGATGACGTCGATGTCCCTGCAAACCGATAGGAGTAAAATATCATGAAAACAAAACTAGCAGTCAAGGAAACGCGTCTTGTCTTGAATTGTCTTGTATTTCAAGCATTGCAGGTGAACTTCAGAGACCTCAACAGAAAAACTGCGCTGTTCTTTGCCATCAGCTACAAGCACTGGGAAGCGGTGAACTTTCTCATAGAGCGCGGGGCTTCGTTGGACGTGAGGTCCACCAGCGGACAAAAGCCACGATCCATGCTGAAATCTGCTCAGCACGAAATTCCGGAAAGGAAGCGCAAAAGAG